ATCAGACACAACTTAGTAACTCAACAACAACATTCTAACTAGGTATTGATGCCATGTGAAAAAGCTGATTCTTAAAAATATTATTCTTGGACCTGGCTATCATTTGAAGGTTTTTATATTAATTTAATGAATTTTCTTAGGTTTTTCTAGGGAGAAGCCATAATTAAAAGTTAACTCTTCCTTTACCAGTATTTATACCTCTTACATCATTTTGTTGCCCAAGTATGGGCTAGAACTCCCCAAACAGTGTTGAATAATAGTGATGATAGCAAGAAACCTTATGTTCTTTATTTTAATGGCGATGCCCCATTGTTTTACTGTTAACCATGATGTTTTAAGTATGATGTTTTACTATTTGTTCTGGGGTTTCTCTTGATTCTGCTAAGGGAAAACAGATTTTTTAAAACTCATTAGTGGATATTGAATTGTATCAAAGGTATTTTCTGCATCCATTTAAATGACGTTTTTCCTTTGACTTATAAATTATGAATATATTTCTTAATATCCTTGAAATAAATTTTACTCTAATAATATGCTTCTAGATTCAGTTTACTGACATTTGATTTAGGACATTGATATTTATATTCATAATTTTTTTTGTATTTGCTATATTTTTCAGATTGAGGACTCAGGATCATTTTAGCTTCATTAAATGAGAGGGGAAGGTTTTCTATGCTTTAGAACATGTAAATAGTACCAGAATCATCTCTCTCTCAAAGCTTTGATTGAATTTACCTGCAGGCTTATCTGGGTCCAGCTCTTATTTAGGTAAGAAGTCATATTTTCATTTTTTTGACCATTTTTTTTACCATATTGGTTCATTTTGATTTTTTTCTCTTCTTAAATACTTATATTTTTTTTTCCCTAGAAAATTGCCCAATTCAGAAAATCTACTAGTGGAAAGTCGATACTATTTTTCTAAAAAGAGGTTACCTCCTCTTTTTATTATTAATGTAGTACATTTGAATTTTCTCTTTTTAGACTTTTTTTTATTGATTTGATTTTGTAGAAATTTATCTATTTGATATCTTCCAGCTCTGGGATATATTTTTTCACTTCTGCTACTTTTCTGTTTTATCTATATTAAATTTCTTTATTCAGTTAATTTGAACACTTTATTATGGAAAATTTCAAACTGGCAGACAATTTGAAAGTGAAAATCCATATCCCACTGTCCAGATTCTATAATGAACATTTTGCTAATTGCTTTGTCACATTTATCCATCTCTTCTTCTATCTATCCATCCATCTTATACTTTATGCATTTCAAAGTTGCAAACATTAATATATTTCACCCCTAAACACTCCAGCATTTATTCATTAATTAGAATTCAATATTTTTTTATGATTCTTTGTTTTCTATAACTTGTCTAACTCCTTTGGCCCAGCATTATTTATTTTCTCTTTTTAAACAATTGGCAATCCCATATATTTCCTTTTTTCTAATCTTATATTTTTTTTTATGTGAACCATTTTTAAAATCTTTATTGAATTTGTTACAGTATTGCTTCTGTCCTATGCTTTGGGGGTTTTCTTTTTTGACCCCAAGGCACATGAGGTCCTAGCTCCCCAACCAGGAATCGAACCCATACCCCTTGCATTGGAAGGCAAAGTCTTGACCACTGGACCAACAAGGGAGTAACCCCCCCCATATATTTTCTACCAACAGTAATAAAGAGAGCATAACTCAATAAAATGAGACTTTCTGCCAAGGTTTTTCTTTCCTCCACTTTTCTAGTTGCCATTATCTCTACCCATCAAACTATTACAATGAATTTTTTATTCCCCAGAACTGCAGGTCAAGACCCAAAGGCTGAAGGGCTTAAAGCATTATATGTATCTTAAACCATTGTTTAGGGAAGAATTTATAATAATATAAGACTTTAGACACTAAGGAGGACTGAATCATGGGGTGCAGCACATTCTGGGGAAACATTTAGGACAGAAACAAAATTTCCTTTTCTTGAAGGGAAGATAAAGTAGACATCTTCTGGGTTCTGGCTGCTCAGCATGTGGTGAAGTCTCTATTTGAGTGTACAAGATCCTGCATCTAACTATGGAAGCTGAAGGGGGGCAGACATTCCTCTGTTCTCTTTCTGAAAGCTTGTGGGAAGTCATGTGACCCCAGTTCAGCCAAACAGGTACTCCTGCCCAAGAACCTGAGTCTAGAAGAGTTGACCCAGAGATGTAGTGAGGGACCAAGAAAGATTCTGGATTGCTTGAATATTTATCCCCAAGAGACTAAAGTAGATGTGACAGTTTCCGTCAATTTGCAAGTTTAAGTTTTCTGCCATCAGCGGAATTTGGACTAGATCTACAGTGACCTTTTTACATATCTAAATTGTGACTGTGAAATATTACCCACACACAAATAAGTGATGTTTAAAGGATGCTTTAATTATCATCTTATTTAATTTTTTTAAAAAAGCCCTCTGAGTTAGGTATTACTGTCATTTCAAGCGCCTGGATGAGAATCCCAGTCAGTGGGCAGCAGCTCTGGCGCATGGACGTGGGCCACATGACTTCAAGGCCATGCCCCAGGGTTTTAACCAAGTATTCTTAATTGCCATTCATGTCTGAACACTTGTTTTGACTTCGCCTTTCAGTCCTCTGGGAGGGACTTTTTTCATTTCAAAAATTATCAGTTAATCTTTCGTTAAATTTTAGTTTTATTACATTGTGTTCAGAAAATTTAACTGAAGAGTTTCTGCTTTCGGGAATTTATTGTGCTTTACTTTAGGGCCTAATATTTGGTCAACCTTTGTATTTGTGCCATAGAAATTTGAAAATAATGTTATCAAATATAAATAGTCTCATTTGCCTGGCACAGGGGAGGAAGTAAAGGGGACAGTGCCCAGCCTTACTTAAAAATCTACCCTTATAACCAACAAGTCGGTCCGCTTCAGTGCCCACTTAGTGAAAGACCTTAAAACTGGCTTCTTTCAGTCAGGGTTTGCTGAATCCCTCCCCATAAGGAGTTGCTCTGAGGAGTCCCACCCAGGCGGCCTCTTTATTCCTTGCTTGTCTCACACAGGGCTGGGGCCGTGAGTGAGACCAAGTCTCTTTAGCGCTAGCTGCGTACTGACTACTGCCCCAAGGCCAGAAGCGGTCAGGACCTCTGGAAGTTGAAGGGACCCATACACCCTAAGGGAAGAGTAGGATTTGAATGGGCAGAGATGGGCCAGCAGACCAGACTGAACAAATAGCCCAAGGAAGGCAAGGAGGTGAGGAATCTCTGAACATGTTTGGGGAATATCAGAAAGTCTGTTGCTCAGCCATCACGTTATGTCCGACTCTTTGCCACCCCATGGACTGCAACACGCCAGGCTCTCCTGTCCTTCACCATCTCCTGGAGTTTGTGCAAACTCACGTCCACATCCATTGAGTCAGTGATGCCATTCAACCATCTCATCCTCTGTCGCCCCCTTCTCCTCTTGCCCTCAATCTTTCCCAGCATCAGGGTCTTTTCCAATGAGTCAGCTCTTTGCATCAGGTGGCCAAAGTATTAGGATATCAGCCTCAGCATCAGTCCTTCCAATGAATATTCAGGGTTAATTTCCTTTAGGATTGGCTGGTTGAATCTCCTTGCTGTCCAGTTCAGTTCAGTCACTCAGTGGTGTCCTACTCTTTGCGACCCCATGGACTGCAGCACGCCAGGCCTCCCTGTCCATCACCAACTCCCGGAGTTTACCAAAACTCATGTCCATTGAGTCATGAGGCCATCCAAGAATCTCATCCTGTCATTCCCTTCTCCCACCTTCAATCTTTCCCAACATCAGGGTCTTTTCAAATGAGTCAGCTCTTCGCATCAGGTGGCCAAAGTATTGGAGTTTCACCTTCAACATCAGTCCTTCCAATGAACACTCAGGACTTATTACCTTTAGGATGGACTGGTTGGATTTCCTTGCAGTCCAAGGGACACCCAAGAGTTTTCTCCAACTGCACAAAGGCATCAATTCTTCGGCGCTCAGCTTTCTTTATAGTCCAACTCTCACATCCATGCAGGACTACTAGAAAAACCATAGCTTTGGCTACACGGACCTTTGTCAGTAAAATAATGTCTCTGCTTTTTAATATGCTGTCTAGGTTTGTCATAGCAACAGGAGCAAGCGTCTTTTAATTTCATGGCTGCAGTCACCATCCGCAGGGACTTTGGAGCCCAAGAAAATAAAATCTGCCGGTATTTCCACTTTCCCCCATCTATTTCCCATGAAGTAATAGGACCGGATGCCAAGATCTTAAGCTTTTTTAGTTTGAGTAACTCCCTGGCAGTCCAGTGGTTGGGAATCTGCGGTTTGGACCCTGCCGTGGGCGGGGTTTGCTCCCTGGTCTGGGAACCAAGACTCTAAGAATCCGCAAGCCACTCGGCGAGGACCCCCACCCCCCACCTCATAAGTCTAATTTGACTGGAACATGGGATGAAGTAGGAAGGGCATGTTGGGAAGGGCCCTGCTCCAACCCAGACCCACACCAGAGGGTGTGTGCTGCGGAGAGGACGAGACGTACATCGGAGCCCGGGGCCTTCGGGGTTTGTGGGGGTCAAGTCGCTCCAGGGAGAGCACCAAGCCCTGGTCACGTGGGTTCGTGACGCACAACGACCCCTGCGGTCCCCTTAGCGTATCGGTCTCTGAGCATCTACCAAGAACCGTGTAGGAGGCGCGGACTTCCGTCTGCACCCCCATTCGGGGTCCGGAGAGGGGCAGCTGGGGGCCAGTAGCCAGGGCTCCCGTCCGCACTTGGAGAGCTCTGAGCGGCCCCAGGCGGGCAAAATTCTCCGGAGGCGCGTGCGGCGCCGGGGCGCGGTGCCTCCTCCAGGCAGTCGGCGGGATGGCCCCCGGCAACTCCTCCTGCAGCTGCTGCTGCCTTATAAGGCGGGGGCCGGGCGGCGCCGGGGGAGGGGCTGTAGCCGCCAGGCCTCCTCGGCTCTGAACCGCGCTGGGCCGGGCCAGGAGGGAGCGCAGCGCAGCGCAGCGGGAGCGGAGCAGCGCGCCGAGCCTGCCATGGGCAAATCAGGTGAGCCCGCCGGGCCAGCAGGACCCGGGTGCGGTGATGGCTCGGGGCTCCGAGGTCCTCGCTGTCACTCTTCGCGAAGCTGGCTGGATCCCTAGGGGGAGGGGGTCGACCACCTCCGCCCGGGCGACGCGGCTGCGGCCGCTGTGGGACCGCAGGGTGCGGGATGGAGGGGCTCACGGAGCGGGCAGTTTCCGGGGCAGCCAGGAAGCCGAGGTGGCCGTCGGGCCACTGGGAGAGAGGGAGCGAAGGCGAGACAGAGGGAGGGTCTTCTCGTCTGCGAGGCAGAGATTGCGTCTGGGAGGGCTTCCAGGCGCTGATGGGATTAGCGCTGAGTCCGGCCAAGGCGTGGCTTTTGCTTTGTTTCAGGACAGGGTTAGAGTTGGAAAAAGCCACAGAACTGTGACAAGATCTCTTGATGCAAAGCAGCTTGCCCGACCAACCCTGCGAAAGACAGCTCTGAGCATCCTTTTCTTCTATAGTTGTGCTTTCTCCTCTAAGCACCCCACTCCCACCCCGTACCAGATTCGGGCTACACAGGAGTACACACAAAGGCTTCCCCCTTCTCTGACCTGTCTGCTGCCCATCCTCACCACGGTGGCTGCCACGGTGAACTTTCTAAAACCCAGATCTCCTCTTGTTATTCCCGAACAACTTCCATCCCATAGTACACACTCTTCAGCTCCACTGTGGGGATCTCAAGGAGCTGGCCATCACCCCTTTCTTGCCTCTGCACTCAGCTATGGCACTGGATCCTTCCCCTGGGTTCCCCTTCCCAGCGCTCACCACCACCACCACTTCACCTCTCCCACTTCGGTGAAATTGAAAATCCTCCCCATCCTTCTAGGCTCAACACCTAGACTAGTACTGCACCCCACTTCCTGACCTGGTGTCTTCTTTCTTGCAGCCCTCCCAGCTATCAGGTTGGGACTCTACCCAGCCAAAGACCTGCTTCCCACCAACCTCACTGACAGCCAGGACCCCTGTCTATCTTAGTATGGTTCGTGCCTCACAGGAGGCTTTTGAATGAACAGATTTTGAAGAGTTCAAAAGCCCCACTTCATGGAAAGTTGAAGTTGTCAGCCTCAGGTGGTTTAAAGTTGGGTCTCTTCCTGAATCTGTCCTCAAGATCAGGACTTCTGAGGTACCAGTGCTGGAGGAGTGGCTTTCTCTGGCATCGGGCCTAGCCTGCCTTATCTGCAGCGGCAGGTCTGGCTTTCAGCCCTGGCTCTGCTAGTCACTTGCTGTGTGATCTTGAGCAAAGTCTTTTCCTGCTCTGTGCCTGTTTCCTCGTTTATACAAAGAAGATGGCCGGGATCATCCCCAGGGTCTTTTGCAGTCTGGAAAGGTGGCATAGTTATTATGCAGTTAAAGAACAGGCTAGTGGTGGGGTGGGGGAGAGCATGGCAGATGTGAGAGGGCCCTTTGAAATCCCTATTTGGGAAATTAGTCCCTTTCTTTACAGATTAAGAGGAAGTCCACAAATTATCTAAAGCTACATTCTAATCAGTTGTTTCTGGCTTCTCTCCTAAGAAACAGTTTTCCAGAACTGCTGGGTGCCCATTTTTCTCTGCTCATCCATCCCTCTCTCCCTCCCTCCATCTTTGCTTCCCTCCCTCGTTCTTCCCTTCCATCATCCATCAGCTCTGTATCAACCTGTGGACCTAGTGCTACAGAGGGCATGGCCCCTGCCCTTAGGAGTGTCTGTGTGGTTTATAAAACGCATCAGAAAGCTGCTTATGGGAGAGACTGGCACTACCTGGCTCTAGCAAGAGGTGGAGAGCGATCCAAGCCACAAGACAGGTGCAGGTGAAGAGCGGTGGGAGCTTGTGGTGGGCTGGGGGTGGGGGGTGGGTCTCTTTCCCAAGCATCCAGTGAAGGTTCTTGGAAGAGGTGGTCAGACTCTCGAGTGTCTTGGAACTTTGGACTTTCTTTTGTGAGACCTGGGGGGCCATTGAAAGGCATTAATCTAAAAGCTTTGGGACCAGAATTGTTCCAGGGTGGAGGGTGGACCAGCTGGAGAGGGAGTAGAGGCAGGGGTCAGGGAGAAACTGTTGCAGTTACTCAAGCAAGAGATAACAGAAACATCTAAAGGACTGGAGAAGAAGCGGGGATGGATTTTCAAGATGGTAGCCCCAAGCAGACTTGGTGACTAACTTGTGAATAAGAAGGAAAGGTCAAGTGGTGTGAGTCTTAGGTGCAGGAAGGTGATGACACCTTCTAGGACTGGAGATGCAGAGTCTCCAGGATGGTGTCAGAAAGCACGTTAGAGCCGGTTCAGGCAGTTTCCGCCCCCTTCCCATGGTTAACCTCCACAGACCTGGGGACCTTCCAGAATACTGGCCCTTAGCCACATGCATTCTACTCATCTCCCCCAAAGACTCTGAGCCCCCTGGATAGTATCCAGCTCCCCTAAGGGTCCCCAAGAGAAAATTACTTTTCTGGGTTACACGGGCCCAAACTTGACGTTCCAGGCCACCAGCCTGGGACTGTCTGCCCAAAGGACAGGCAACATCACAGGCGTGCGTCCACAGAGGGGGTCTCTGTGGTTCTGTAAAGACCTTCGTAAGGAGCTTGCGCCTTCTGGGCCTCAGTTTCCTCATCACTGCACAGGGGCCCATCTCTTTAATCTTTAACCTCAGATATACAGCAGAGCTACTGGGGTAGTGGGCACTGCTGGAAAAGTGTCTCATAAGCAACACAGCTTGAAGTCTGGAAGTCCAGTGTTCAGAGGCTCCTAGGTGCAGCCCCTGGCCCACATCTTCCTGCTGGGCTTCAGTTTGCAGCTGAGCAGAGAAAGGCAACAGCTTGGGGCTCAGTGGAAGCCTCTAATATGGTCCCTAACAACAGCGACTGCCAGTCATTCAGCCCCTACTGTGTGCCAGGCTTGAAGCTGGGTGTTTCATGTGTTACCAGTTTTTGTAACAGCCTGTGAGGCCCTTATTATCAGCTGAACAGTTTACAGAGGTTGAGTACTTTGCCCAAGCTCATGCAGTGGACAAACAGATTTGCACCCTGCTCTCTGACTTCCCAGCTGGGTGCTGACCTGTCTGCCACACTGACCGTTTGTCACCCTGCTTCTCAGCCTGGTCTCCAGCCGTTAAGGACAGCCACACACTCTCTATCGCTAAGAATCCTACTGTCCCTCGATCCACGTCCCCTAGCCCCAGAGGTCATCAGAGCAGAAAGACCTCCAGGGACCAACTTATCCAGGAATTTTCTACAGAGCAGGGCCTTCATGCCTCTGCAGGGGAAGGCCTCATGGGCAGGTTAGTCCCCACAGTTCTGTTTTCATCTGTTGATTCTAAAGAAAGTTTCAAAAAAGGGTTTCCCTGCTTTAAGCTATTTTGAAAACCACAGATGTCATCCTTCCTTCTCACACAGATGAGGAAACGACAGTGTGCTGGCAGGCAGGCTGGGTGGCGGCGGGCAGGGCTGGAGAGAGACCGCCTCTCTGCTGGCGAAACAAGCGCTCTCCCTGCCCTGCCTCCTTCAGTTCTTCCGCGACCATCATCCGCCCACACAGGGGCAGCCTAAGGCATGCCCTGGGACATCCTTGTCATTCTTGCTTGGGGTCTGGAAGAAGTATGTAAGGTGGAAAGTGTGTGAGATACAGGGCAAGGGAGGGACGTTCTTGGGTCTGACTCCAGTGTGGACTCACCGTGTGACCTCGGGCACGTCACATGTCCTCCCAAAGACCAAAGTTTCCTTGTCTATATTGAGAAGCACCATGTCCTCAGTGCTGCTATGAGAGTCTCATTCATCTGTTCTTGTGCTCACTTTTTCACTCAGTAAGTACATGAGCTCAGAGGTACTGAAAAAGGTCATCAAAGACCAAGTTAAATACCAGCAGCTCTGCTCCCAGTAAAATCAGGGAGGGGAGTTCCCCCCAAAGCCAGGCTAATGGGTCTCTGCCCCACGGTAATGACAATACTTATAGGTGACATTTAGTTGAATTATAGTTTGTTCACTTTGTTCCAGATCTGATCTAAAGCATTTACAAAGATTTAATTCTCACAACAACCCTATGAGGTAGATACTGTTATCCCCATGTTGTGTATGGAAGAAATGAGGCACAGAGTGATTTAGCAACTTTACCAAGATCACACAGCTAATAAAAGGCAGATCTGGGATTTGCCTCTTGAATTTCCTGGAACCCAAGCTGGAAAAGCTACCCATCTGGAACTCATTCTTTTTATTTTTTTAATCAAGTTTTTATTCTTTCCTTCCTGATAAACTAGCAAAACCAGCTTTGCCCCAAAGGTTTTCTAGCCTCTTGCCAGGGGACAGAAGGGGCCTGTTCATAATTCCTGCTCTGGCCCTGCAGGTCCTGGGCCTCTTTGATGGGGAGCGGGGAGAGGGCTGAGAAATGAGTCAGCTGGGCTCTGGGAGGCCAGAAGGGGACGAATGCTGAGGGAGGGGTCCGTTCCAGCCAACAGCTGTGAGGGAGGAGGGGCACGGACCTCCTCAGAGTCTCTATCCCACAGTTAGGAGCTCTGCCCTAAGGACCTCTGAGAGCCCCTAGTCCAGCCCCACCCAAGACGCCTTTGTCTTCCACCTAGCCCTGGCCTGCCCCCTCCCCTTGGCCGCGGGAGCCACTCTCAGGCAGCCCCTTCCAGCCGCTCTGACCTTAAGCCCCGGTTGTGCACCCTGGAGCATGGCTTTCCTCTGGGACGACTCGGGCAGGTCTGTCTACAAAGGGCTACAAAGCACAGAGGAGGCACTTGAGAAATCTTAGTTCTTTTCTTCTCTCTTCCTTCTTCCTCCTCTTTCCCCTCAAAGATTTGAAGGCAGCTGTCAATCTCACTGGGCCTGATCCTCATCCTAGGTCTACTGGCCCCCTTTTCTCAGTGATTTCCTCTGTCTGGGGACCCTTGAAGTGGGCTGGGGTTCAGGGCAGGGTTCCCCTCCTTGGGGGCCTACCCCTAGACCATCTGTGGGAACGTGGACAGAGATTATCTTCTTGAGCCTGTTTCCCCATCCAAAAAATGGGTACAGTGGTGAAAGCTCCCGCAAAGGTGGTGAAAAGTAAATCAGATGATACACAGGCCTGGCACCCAGAAATGGTTGGCCACCAAGCAGAAGGAAGGCCCTCCCTCATTCCAGGCTGGTACCCTGTGGCTGTGTGGCCTCTCTGAGCCTCAGTCTGCCAGCCTGTGTGCAGTCACATCTGACTCTGTGTGACCCCCTGGGCTGTAGCCCGCCAGGCTCCTCTGTCCGTGGGATTCTCCAGGCAGGAATACTGGAGTGGGTTGCCATGCCCTCCTCCAGGGGATCTTCCCAACCCAGGGATCGAACCCACATCTCCTACGGTTCCTGCACGGGCACATGGACTTTTTTTTTTACTGCTAAGCCACCTGGGAATGCTCTTTTGCCCTCCTACAAAATGAAGCCATAACCCTCCCTCCCCCATCGTGGGGTGGCTCTGAGGTCTCCCCCGCCTGATGCAGGCATGGGTGGGTTTTCTGTGACACCTCTTTTTCTTCTGTTTATCTGTCCTCAGGTCTTTCTACAGAAGTGGGTGTGTCTCTTGCTGGGTGTGGTCCCTGGGAGGTCTCTTGCCTCCCCGGGGCTGGGTTCTGCTCAGAGGAGCCGCTTGGGCTGGGACTGGCTGCTGGGGTGGGCGGGAACCCCTGCATCAGCCAGGGGTGTGGTTATGGGGCCCCCAGGCTTTGCAGTCAGTGACAGGCAGAGAGGGCGACCCTGCTGACTCCTTCCTAGAAACCCCGGTGCTGGAACTTTCACTTTTTGTTTCAGTACTTCCCACATTCTGGGAACGCAGTGACCTAGTTTTCAGCAGCCTTTTATGTCCCTTCTCTGGGTTGGGAAGATTCCCTGGAGAAGGAAATGGCAACCCACTCCAGTACTCTTGCCTGGAAAATCCCATGGACAGAGGGGCCTGGTAGGCTACAGTCCATGGGGTCACAAAGAGTCAGACACGACTGAGAGACTTCACTTTCTCTGCCAAGGAGACTTCAGGGCCTGAGCAGTCCAGGGTCCATGTATCACAGGGCTATCTTTAAACTGGCTTTGCCTTAGTGACCCACCATTCCCCATAACTCCACCTCTTTCTCACAGCACCACGTATGCCAGACCCCTTCTGCCCTGGCCCTTCCTGCGCCTTTGCCCCCTCATCACCTCCTCCAGGGGGCCTCCTTCCCTGATACATCCGTGGTCACCATTGCCCACGCCACTCAGACCCATGCGTCTTTCGTGGTGTCCCGCCGGGGCCTGCCTGGTACATAGGAGCTGGAAGGGACATTAGGGTGGGCCTAGCCAGGCCTGTCACTCAGATAGAGACCCTCTACCACTTTGTGGGTACCCACACTCGCCCGTGCATGCACACACACACTAAACTCCTGGAAGTCTGGGGTCAGTCGGTCATCTTGCCTCCTCTCACCCTCACCCTCAGGATTGGAAGGGACTTAAAAGTCATCTGACTGGGCCTCCATTGCCTGCATTCCTCTGAGAGGCATCACCTGCTTGCATGCCCCCAGTGCTGGAGAGCTCACGGCCATGTGAGGTAGCACTTTCAGTCTTCAGAAAGCTTTGGTGGAGACAGAGATCTTTCTCAGGCTGAGCTGAAATCCGTCATCCCGCCTTTCCACCCACTGCTCCCAGCTTTGCCCTGTGGGGCCCCAGAGTTCAGCAGGGCCCTGCGCCGCATCTTCCAAAGTCTGGTCTTCTGCAGTTCTTGCTACCATCCCTTATGAGACCACATACCCAGCCCCTTCTTCACCTCATCACCACCTCTGTACACACTTCAGACTGTCCCTGCCTCTAATGCAAGCTGGGCGAAGAGTTGCAGCTGGACACGGCTTATGTAGGGCAAGCAGCACATCGCCCAGGAGCCATGGGTTTCTGGCCACCACGCCTCCCTCCTGACTCCTCAGTGTCCTGTTAGTGAGGCTCCAGTGTGGGTCCCATGAGTTGCTGTGATTCCTGCCGCTTCCACCTGAGATATTCTTTAAAAGCCTCTGTGACTCCATTATCCACAGTAACATGTGAAACCCCAGTTTTGTCTCTAATATTTACTATTTGACTGTGCTGGGTCTTAGTCATGACACGTGAGATCTTTATCTGTGGCGTGTGGGTTCTAGTTCCCTGACCTGCACATTGGGAATGCCAAGTCTTAGCCACTGGAGCCCTAGGGAAGTCCCCAAAAATCTTTTTTTTAATTCTGGTAAAAATCGCATGACATAGAATTCACCATCTTAACCACTTTTTAGTAAAGTGCGTTCACAGTGTTGTAAAGCAGATCTCCAGGACTGTTTCATCTTGCAGATCTGAAACTCTGTACTCATTCAACAGCACCTTCGCTCTCAGCTGGGCCTCTCGGCCACACAGGCCTGAGGACTTCAGGTGGTAGCTCCGCCTTCTGCCTTATGACCTGTTACCATGGCCACGGTTTTCACCTCCACGCCTTTGTCATAGCGTCTCCCCGTCTCTGCCTGTCAATCCAGACCTCCCACATCCTGGCGTTTGGCACCCCTTTCCCATCCCTGTCGCACTTCCCATCACTATGACTGGACCCCACCAGACTGCCCCACCAGTCCCCAGAGTGTTGGAGGTTGTGACCACTGCCCACCACTGGCATGGCCTGCAGTTTCCGTCCCTCTCCTGGTCACTGTTTAGCCCAAAGCTCCAGAGGGCAAGCCCTGGGTCTTCTTCCCTCAAGTCCCCTAGCGACCCAAGGGGACTCAATCTGAAGGCCCAGGAGACCTGAGGGATCTGGCTGAGGGAGGGGAAGAGGACCCCTGCTGGTTCATCTCCAAAACCTCTGGGGGAAGAGACCGCAGAGGAGGAAGGTGGCTGGTGACAGTGACTTGGGCCAGTGGATGGAGGGCTGCTTCTCTAATCCTCTGGTTTATACCCTCTGCCCACAGCAGGCTTCAGAGACAGGCTCGTGCCAGAGGGGACTAGCTCAGTTCTGTGGACCCCCTGTGGCCCTCACACGTAACTCAGCCATTTCCATGGTGATGGCAAGGGGTCCTCCCATCCTCCCAGATTCCTAAGGCTGAGGTCAGCACCTTCAGAGTCTTAGCCTGGCCAGGTCCTATTCAGACATCTGTGGGGCCTCAAATCAGGGGTCACCTTCCTGATCCCCCAGACCATGGTAGGCTGCTTTTCTCCAAGTTCCTCTTGAACTGTGCTCACCTGCACCTTGAGCCTGCCACACTGCTGGCTGTTGTTCTCAAGACTCTCTCCTTTCTGGGTGTGAGCTCTTTGAGGGAAGGACATAGGTAACTTGTCCGAACCCCTAGCATATGGTACGGGACTTGGCACAGAGGACACACTTGGAGAGCAGATGAACAGATAGATGAGTTGGGGTTGAATTGATGATAGATGGGTGGTTGGATCCTGCTGCTTACATCATGAGTCAGTAGGTGGGTGGATGAGTGATGGAGAGATGGATGGAGGATGTGGGTTAGATGAAGTTCCATTTCAGATCTGAATTGATATGACCTCTGTCCCCTGCTGACCTGGCCTACCTTTGACTTCACCACTTCTCCTCTCCCAACTCCAGCCCCCTTGGCCTTGCCCCTTCCGAGGTTGGGACCCAGTTGGGCATACCTTCCTTCACCTGCTGGGGCCAGCTGATCACACCCCCCCCACCACAGCATTCTTTCCCACACTCCCCCTCTCCACTTCCTGATGCTGTCCTGCCCTGGTCGGTCCTCCTGTCTCCATCTGCCCCTCTGTCTTGGGGCAGTGTGGGTACCCCTGCACCCTGGCCAGGCCTGTTCTCTCTGAGCTCCCATCTACAGCCCTTCCCAGTCCTCCCGTAGCATGTACCATAGGTCCCATCTGAGATATCCAGTCTCCACACACTTTCTTTCGGATGTCCTGCTCTTCCCTGTCCAGCACCCGCACCCCCCATCTGCTCTGCCCATCCTCCACTCAGCAGCCAGCAGGGTCTTCTAGAAACAGAGATCTCCTTAGCTCACCCCCCTTCCCCCAGTCAGTCACTTCCCATCGCCATGAATAAAGACCCAGACTCCTTACATGCTCCATGGGGCCCTACATCGTCCCGGGGGTGTTGGTGTGCAGAGATTGGGGCAGCAAGCCTGGCTGTGTGACTTCAGGTTTGAGTTGGGCTGTGCTTTGAAGCCCGCAGGGTACTTTCCTACTTCCCGTGGCTTTTTTCTCCTCACTGAGATGGTCTCCATCTTGAACTCATTGCAGCCTCCAAGCAGTTTAACGACGAGGTCCTGAAGGCCCACAATGAGTACCGGAGGCAGCATGGTGTCCCCCCACTGAAGCTCTGCAAGAAGCTCAACCGGGAGGCTCAGCAGTGAGTGCCCCCCAGCGCCCACGGCCCTTCACGGCGCTGCCCTGCGGCAGTCACAGACAGGCTCTAGGATGCAGGAGAGGTGTGGGCTTGCAGGGCAAACATGGCCATACTTGAATAGCCCCTCTGCCACTTACCCGGGCAGGTCCCATTGTTCCTCTGAGCCCGAGTTTGCTCCTCTGTAAAGTGGAACTGGAGCAGGGCCTTAGAAGTGATGCAGGTGTGATGCTCCTGATTGCCTGCCTGAGCCCAGGGCAGGGACGGAAGCTCAGCCATACTAGGTTAGGGCTCCTACTTTGGAGGCTTCCCCAGGCTGTACACACTCTAAGGGAGCACCGTGGACTCCTGCAGGTATTCAGAGGCCCTGGCCAGCACGAGGATCCTCAAGCACAGCCCAGAGTCCAGTCGTGGCCAGTGTGGAGAGAACCTGGCATGGGCATCCTACGATCAGACAGGTGGGTCCTTTCTCAGCTTCCCACCCACTGCCTGAGCCGGGGCTGGGGCATCCAGTATTCAGGCTCCTACTGAAGTCCTCCTCAGGGTCCTCATAGTGTCTGCATGATGTGCTACCTCCTCGAAAGGGAACAGAAGCCCAGAGCTCTCTGTCTGCCCCCAGGGGCTGACTGCAGTTCACCACAAGGGCTCCAGTGGCCAGCTCAGGGCCAGGCCTGTGCCGGGTGCCAGGGACACAGAGATGAGTCAGACTTCCCGCCCCCGCACCCCCTGCAGAAGAACTCCCAGCTGAGAGTGGGGGCGGGGGAGAGACCGTTTCTGTGCGGAGTCTCAGCCTGACCCTGTGGGCGCTGCAGCATCCCCAGTTACAGAAGAATTTTACTTTCCTCACGTTCTTCCAAAAGTCTTTTCAGTGCTTGTGTATTAACTGTTTTCATGAGAGAAGTGCAATAGAGCTTTTTTCCATGTTGGACAAAGTAATAATAATGGGAAAGGCAATTCCTCACCCAAGGTCACAGCCTGGATGGTGATCCCACCACACTGACCAAACATTGTGGACTTCCTGGCTCTGGCAGTGCTGGCGTGGCTTTTTAGGAAAAATGCTGGAGAGAGCCACCTTGCAATCTGACCACCTCCCTCCCCTGCAGGAGAATGACTGTTCCCTCCCTGGCCTCACATTCCTGGGGGTTCCCCAGGGAGGCCCTGGAGTCCTCTATGTTTCCAGGCAGAGCTCCACGAGAAGCATGGGCCTGCCCCTGAGGAAGGTAGAGCCCGAGGCCCGCAGCCCCTCCCCAGGCTCAGGCTGTGGGCCTCAATGGGGAGAAGGGAGCGGGGCGGGAAAGAGCCAGCAGGAGATGAGGCTCCCTCCCAGCCTCTCACTGGCTCCCCGTGGAGCCTTGAGCAAGTCTGCTACCCTCCATGGCCCCAGTATCCCCATCCCTACTAAGAGGGGTTGGGTGGGTGGCCTCTAGAGCAGCAGTTCCCCACCCTCGCTGTGCCCTGGGATCTTCCGTGGTGCTTTTAGAAAGTATAGTGCCTGATCTCTCCTCCAGAGACAGTGATAAGTATCAGACATCAATAATTTTGAAAAGCTTCCCACTGCTCTCAGAGGCCCTGCCACTCCAGGTGTGGTCCATGGATCAGCCACAGCACCTGGAAGTGTGTTAGCAATGCAGACTCAAGGCTCCACCTAGATCTGCCGGAGTCAGAAGCTGCATTTTAACAAGAGCCCCAGGTGATTCGTGCACTTGTTCAAGTTCAAGACTTACTGCCCTGAGGCCCAAGGCTCCTAGCCCTCTGGCCCTGAGCTCCACTGCTCCCAGGGGAATGCTGTGACAGTGGATGCTCCAGGAGAGGGCCCTGCTGCCTGCAGCAGAGACCCTGACCCACCAGCCCAACTACACTTCCTCCTGTGGATGTTTCAGGAGCAAGCATTGCGGTGGGATGAAGGCAGAGTCTCCGGAAAGCTCACAGCATTGTTAGAAGCCCTTGGAGTATGTTGCATTCAGTCCTGTTGTAGAGTGGCCCAGAACTGGGCAGGCCTTGCCCAGGATTGCACAGCCAGTTAGTGGCAGGGCAAGGAAACAGACACAGGCCCCCCGACCTCAGGTCAGGGCTCTTCCCAACCCCCAAGAAGGCCCTCCCTTCAGCCTGGATGTGCTCCAGGGCAAGAATCCCCATGTCAGCCTGTCAGTGCTTCATGAAATGTCTAACTGGGGGGTGGGTGCTTTGGGGCTAATGGGAGATGGAAGGAATAGGGAGTCGGTTCATTTTGCTGCTGAGTTGTCTGCAGTGCCTTTGCCTTACAGGAAAGGAGGTGGCTGATAGATGGTACAGTGAGATCAAGAACTACAACTTTCAGCAGCCTGGCTTCACCTCTGGGACCGGTGAGTGATGTGGACGCAGCAGTGACCTGGCCCGGGGTGGGGCTGCAGTCTGGGTCTGACTTCAGAGGAACTAACCCCCTGAAAATCAATCACTTTCTTTCTGTTTTACTTCTTCCATATTTCTCTGGTTTGACTTTGCCCAGAGGGCAAAAGCATCCCCACCTCTTCACATACACACACACACACACACACACACACACACACCCCTCCATCCAAGAGTACCCAAGCTGCCGGCTCCTGCTGCAGATGCCTGGAGTGTGGCGTGAAGAGGCTGTGGACTGTAAAGCTGCTGACTGTGTCCTTTCAGGAGTGGAACCTCAGCACGTGGCATCCGTCATCCTACTCCTGGCTCTGCTCTCCAGGAGCCAGAGTATTCTGAGACCTTCCCTGTCCATGCTGCTCTCCTGATTAAACTGCCAGTGGCTTCCTGGGGCCATCAGGAAAGCTGCGGAGCCACTGACTCTTCCCCTGGTCTTCACACCTTCCTCCCTCCTGCCCTCACATTCCCCCCCACACCCCCTCCTCCCAACCTCCCAAGTAGTCTCCCTGCTGGTTTGCACACCAGTGTGTGGTTCAGGTGAGCTTGGAATGCAGAGACTTTCGGATCCAGTCTCAGCTCTGGCACTATGAGCTCCATGAACCTGGGTCGGCGCCCTGTCCTTCCCTGTCCCCGAGGGAGAGGCACAGGGCGGTGGCCTCCATGGGACGTTCTGAGAGCCGGGATTTAGATGCAGGGAGCCGGCCATGGGACCATCCAGACTTTCCCATGGACCGCCCATGTGAGCAGTGAATGGTTAGCCTACCAAAGCCCTGGGCAGCTGCTCTGGGTCCCCTCTGCTCCTCACAGGCCTCACCAGGCTCATTTTTCCTCAGAACTGACTCACGTCCACCCGGGGCCCAGGATGGTTTCAAAGCAGCTGGGAGTTCCTCTGACCAGAAGGCACCAGAGGAACTGAACAGAGGATTCTCTATCCATCTGCTATTCCTCTTCCCCACCCTTGGGTGGGGACACTGACAGCCTCCCACCCTCTGGAGGACTCTTCAGAAGCAGGAAGTGACATGTTCTCAGAGCCAGTCACCATTTCCTGTGGTTTGCGCTCACCCTTTGGGGCAGGGGTTCTTGCAATCAATCGTGTGGGCAGAGGTAGCAGCGTCTGAACAGAGGCATTTCCTCTCAGTCCTGTGGGGCAGGACCAGGAGGCTGCAGCCAGGCCCTGGGAGAGAACTGCTGGTTCTGCGGTAATTAGATTTGAGAGGTGAAGCAGCAACAGTGACAGCCTCCTACCAGTGATCAACGATGTGTAGGCAGAACTTGGTCTTCTTTTCATAAAGGTCACTGTCCAGAAGATGTTTTATTTCATCCTGTGAGCAAGATTCATGAGCAATCACACATGTGTCAGAGCAAGTTATTGGTGTTGCTCGTGTGTACACGCCACTTGATAGTAAAAAGCGTCTCCACCTCCACAACCTGCAATACCTTTTGAAGGTGGGGCTTTATTCCACCCATTTTGCAGAGGAGGAAACTGAGGCCCAGAAAGGGGAAAAGACTTCTCTTTACCTTCTATCTTCAATCTGATGCTTCTTCCATGGTCCCTGCTCCAAGGCAGGAATCTCTCAAGTGTCAGAGCTGGGGATTGGTCTCAACTTCCCGTGATCCCTGACCCTCTGTCTTGTCTGTTATCCTACATCTCCCACCCCTCAAGAGGAAAAGCCTAGAGCCAACAGCCCCTACTCCATCCCAGGCACCAGTGGGCAATGGCTGAGGTCACACAGAGCCTGACCCTTGGACAGGAGCACAGCTTTGGGTGGTGGTAGAAGCAGGGGTTTTGCAAGACTCTTAAAGATGCTCAGGCCTGTCCCCGCTGCATCAGCCACCCTAGAGCTGCTTCTCACTGCACCATGGTTCAGGGTGTCCCTGACCCGGGCCCATGCTGTAGGTGAAAGAGCCTTCGAAATACCCCGGACCCCACCCCACCCCTACCCAGGTCAGAGTCTTGTGAGGAAGGACACAGTTCTGTTTGTGCTGAGAGAAATAGCTTCTTTTTTTTTTTTTTGAGAAATAGCTTCTTGCAGGTCCTTTATTTGGGGTTTTGGGGTTTTTTTTAATGCATGGGCTTGTTGACTTATTCTGAATAAGTATTACGCTTATATGACATGAGATTTGCAAGCTGTATAAGGTGGACAGTCTTCCTTCCATCCCTGACTTTCAGCGCTTTGCCTCCCAACCAGTAATACCAGTTTCTGTGTATCGTTTAGAGTCATTCGAACCAAAAGTTGTGGTTTTTCCTTTTTCTTATACTCTGGTGTCAGGTAGGTGATCTGTTTTACACTTGCTTTCTTCACAGGGCAGGTTAGCAGAGATTGTATCATATCAATAGGGAAAGAGCTTTCTCTTTTATTCTCTTGCAAGGATATATTGTAACTTATTTAATGTGTTTTTCAGATGTATATTCTGGAAAGTTTGGGTCCATAGCAGGAAAGAGGATGTGATCCTTTTGGGAAAAAAAAGAAAAAGAAGGAAGCTCTTAGTAGTTTAGAGTTAGAAACCAGTGTGTATCTGATGGTTGCTAAGGAAGTTGTGTCCTGTAATTCATCTCTAAATACCCAGACTTAATTATCTGTGTGCAGACAGAAACCTCTCCAGTCAGAGGAAAGATGACTTAGTTTTATCTGTTTGGAAAAGGCTTCCACAGACATTCATTCTGTTGGTGTGCATGTGGCGTCTGTAATCATTTTCTTGGCAACCAGTGGATAAACGGCAGCTCTTCCTTCTCTGGGTGATGGAGACAGTGGGTAGGTCAGCAGCCAAAGCATGCGGTCTCTTGGAGAAAAGGCTTGTGGGCAAAAGGGTGTGAGCCTTCATGAAAAGACAGTCCATAGAAGCAGTGACACCTGGCAAAGCTGCTGAAGAGCTGGAGATGAAAGAAATGTGATTAAAAGTTTAAGGACCAAGGATGAATTGGAAAATAGTGCTTCCTCTTTTCTGAGGTGAGACTCAGGGTGTACTGAGCAATAGTTAACCTGAGCTTAAGGGTAAATGGTCAGGATGCATAACCGTAGTTAACGTTTGTTTCCTTTTAATTCTTGCTTTGATTATATCACACCAGTCCTGCAGGTTAGTGTTTATGTTTGGTTGTTTTCATAAAGAATTTAGTAATCACAAATCTTTTAGAGATGTAGACAAAGAAATAATGCCTACATTTAAAAATTAGAAAAATGAGGACTTCCCTGCTGGTCCAGTGGCTAAGATTCTGAGCTCCCAATGCAAAGGGCCCAGGTTCCCTGTTCAGAGAACTACATCCCACATGTTCTGACTAAGACCCAGTGCAGCCAAATAAAAATAATAAATAAATTTTTTTTAATTATAAAAATAGAGTTCATCTATAGGAGAAAAACAGTTTAATCAATGAATGATTATTTAGTCCTTACCAAATACGAGACACAGTGGGAAACTTTGTCTCTTCCCTGACTGGAAGAGTGTGGATGCCAGCCCTGTCTCCTTCCTTCTTTTGTTTATTTCATTTTGCGGTGAAATACACTTAACATAAATTTACATTTTAACCATTGTTTATAATTTTTTAAATGTTATGTGTTTTGTTTTTGGCTGTGCTGGGTCTTCCTTGCTGCCTGGGCTCTTCGGTAGCTGCCGAGAGCGGGGCTGCTCTCCAGCCGTGATACACAGGCTTCTCATTTCAGTGGCTTCTCTTGTTGCGGAGCGCAGGCTCAACAGTTGTGGTACACAGGCTTGGTTGCTCCAAGGCACGTGGGATCTTTCCTGACCAGGGATCAAACCCACGTCTCCTGCATTGGCAGGCGGATTCTTTACCACCGAGCCGCCAGGGAAGCCCCATGTTAGGCATCTGTAAGCATACCGCTCGCTGGGGTTACGTCACGCACATTGCTACGCAGTGCTATGTCACCACCGTCCGTCTCCTGAACGCTGGCACCGTTCCAAACTGAAACTCTGAACCCAGTAACAATAACACCAGTCCCTTCCCGCCAGCCCCTGTCCAAGCCCTAGTAACTACTGTTCTACTTCTCTCCATGAATTTGACTATTCTACTTAGACAACAACATTTTGTTTATCCATGGGCAGTTGTTTTCTTTCCCCCTTTTAGCTATTGTGAATAATATGTACATTGGTGTGCAAATACTTGAGTCCCTGCTTTTTGTTCTTTTGGGTGTATGCCTAGAAGTGGAATTACCGGATCATATGGTAATTCTATATTTAATTATTTTAGGAACTGCCATACTGTCTCCCACAGTGGCTGCACCATTTTACATTCTCATCAGCAAAGCAAAAGGGTTCCAATTTCTCCCCATCATCCCCATCAACAAATAACATTTGTTATTTAAAAAAAAAATAATATCCATCTTAATGAATATAAAGTGGTTACCCTCTTTCTTAACCACCCAGTGGGAAGCTTAGCTACTCTGATCACAATTTTCCTCCTTCTTCCTTCCCTCTGTCTCTTCCTTTCTTCATCAGATATTAATTAAGCATCTACTGTATACCAAGAACACACATGTGGTGCCTGCTCTCAAAGAGGAAACATAATCTCTTCTGGGTTGTTTTTAGAAAATGAATGCCATTCTGTGACATGGAAGTAAATATCCCACTGACCTGTCAAAGGATCTCTCTGAATCTTCAGTGATAAAGGTGGAAAGGATGAACTCCTGATCTCTGCTCCCAGGAGATGAGAATTTATGGTCATTGAGCAAAGAGTACATTACAGCATCAGTTCTTTGACCCCAAAACAAGAGCAGAGTTAGAAGCTAAGCTGTGTTAGCAGCTGGAAAAGACCAGTGAGTGCTGGGCAGGCAGCCTGAGCAGTGGGAGAATGATACTGGGAAGCTTCAGCAGCCACAGAAGCGTCTGGAGGGGCCAGCAATATCTTAAGAAGGAACTTAGCTATGTGGCTCAGAGCAGAGGGAACTGAAGGAGGCTCTAACTTGTCTAGGTCTCAAAGAGTTCAAAACCTACAAGGCCTGCACTTCCAGTGACGGCAGAACTTAGTCAAGGTTGGTTCTTCCATATGCCTTTCATTCATTCACTCATTCATTCCATTTATTCATTCCACAAAGTTGTATTTCACATTCCATGTGTCAGGCTGTGCCAGGTACTGCACATACTTTGATAAATAAATCAGTTTGGTTCCTGCCCATATGGGGCTTATAGCCTAATGAAGGGGCCAAGTGCTTAGCAAGTAATCAAACAAGTACATCACTGCAAATGGTAAGAATGCTGTGAGGGTGGGAAACGGTACAGCAAGGCCATCTTGAGAGGGAGATGTTCAGGAAATGAGTGATTGCAAAAGGCCTCTCTAAACAAGTGACATCTGGGCCAAGACCTAAGGGACAAGAAAACACTGGTCATCAGACGAGCATTGCATACAGTGGCCAGTGCGTGCAGGGGGTCCATAGTAAGAAATAACAGGATGCGTTCAAGGGATGGAAAGGAGGCCACTGGACCAAAGCATTCACTTTCATTTTAGGTGCAGCTAGACGCAATGGAGGGATTTTTAAGTAGAGAAGTAAACAGATATGATCTATGTCTCAAAATGATCACTCTGATGATTACGTTACATCAATGGAACGTAAATTGAGGAATCAAGGGTGGATGCTGGAGAGTCAGGCGAAGGCTATTGCAGTGATCCAAGTGCGAAAAGTTCATGCTTGAGACCATGGTTTTGGGAATGAAAGGACTAGAGATGTATTTTGAAGTTAGACTTTTCAGGATTGAATGAGGGCTTGTGGGGAAATGAAGGTGAAGGAGGAATGCAGAGCAACTCTGAGGATTGTGTGCACAGAGGTACTGGTCATGGAAACGGGAGAGACCAAAATCAAGAGTGAGGTTTGGGTAGGTTACGTGTGAGATGCCTGTGAGTCATCCCAGTGGAAATGTCAAGTGAGTAGTTGTGTTTGGAGCACAGAGGAGAGGTTTGGGCTGGAGAAAGATATTTGGGAGCCAAGGAAAGATGAAACTGTCTGAAGAGGGCAACAGGAAGGGAAAAAAAAGCCCAGGATTGAACCTTGGGAAATGCAGCTCCTCCAGTATTCACAAGTGAGACGGAAGAGGAGGAGGCAGAGAGAGGGATGCGGGGTGAATGCCAAGAGAGGAAACCAAAAGAGCAGAGTCCTTTGAAAGGCACAGGAATCTATTCTGTTAATGTTCCTGAGATGTCAAGTAAGATGAGGACAATAAGTGACCACGGGGAAGGAACACAGAGATCGTTGGTGACCTTGAAAGTGTGGTTTGGGGCGAGGGGTGGAAGTAGGTGCAAGGTAGGGTGACCTCCTAATTATTGGGGTCACTGGGCTTTGCCATAATCTCTAGGAGACCATGAAACTTTTGAGCATTGGATAGTGAGATGTGTAGGGTCTATATGGCTAGTTGAGAGGACCCAATGTGTTAGAAAATTAGTCAGTGTCTTGTGTCTCCTTCTTCTGACTGGCAATTGAAGATCAAGCTTCCCCCCACATGGCAGGATGGTGCAGGAGTTCCAGAGTCCCTTGAAACACCATTCTCCAGGCTTTGCTAACTAGCCCGTTTCCCTCTCCCCATGCCTGTTCCTACAGGACACTTCACAGCCATGGTATGGAAGAATACAAAGAAGATGGGAGTGGGGAAGGCATCTGCAAGTGACGGGTCCTCTTTTGTCGTGGCCAGATACTTCCCAGCAGGGAATGTCGTCAACCAGGGCTTCTTTGAGGAAAATGTCCTGCCTCCAAAGAAGTAATATTTGTCCAGTGGAATGGGAAGGTGGCAGACTTAAGAACTTGGATATGAAGTGCCTAGAACAACAAAATTCAGCTGTGTGTCTGTCCCTGTGGGTGTGTGTGCTTGTGAGTGTGATGCTGAGTCTCTTGCACACACACTCGGTTAGACAGTTGTGCGTGAAATCATTCTCATCAAAGAAATGAGCATACAAAGCCTCTATCTCGATGATTCCCTAGGCTACAGTTATTTGGACTTTGACAGGAAAAATTCAATTTTTAAACTTTTAAAAAATTTTTTAAAGCAAACTTTTTTTGTACCTTCTTACTTATATCCACCCCTGATCCCTGGACTTTCTGTATTCCAACTGTTTGTGATGCTGAGAAAGTGAAGTTCATCTTATGGGACCTTCATGCATTGTAATCTACTTTTGGTAGATATTTAAGAATATTAAGCCCTCATTTAAATGTGACAAAAAATACAGCTTTAAACGTGTGAATACAAAGCAGTTTCCATAAGAAATACAGGGTAGGCAGAGACTCCATTTCACGGAATTACTGAGATTTCTCAGTTGTAAGACATGATGTCATCTGCACACCTCCTGGAATTCTCTAGTGGGATTGCCAAAAAACAAATCGAGAAAAAAGCTTGACTTCCTTGCATTTTTCTATCTTCCACCACCCTCGGCCCGCCCTCTTTCTCTAAAGGTCCTCTGGCATTTCAGAGCTCATGGTGCCGCCCCTCACCAGCACCTCGGTTTCCAGGGAGCAGGGCCAGGCCTGCGGCTCACCCGCCCCCACTCTGCCTGGGGCCCCGGGGCCTGTTCTGGGAGAGAGCCCCTCGCTCCTCCTGGGCTGTTGGCCAAGCAACCTTGGATGATGGAGCCAGTGAGCGCGGGGGTGAGGGCGAGCTCACTCAGAGTCCCCAGAGGAAGCCCTCCAGCCTGTGCCGTCCCCCCCACACAGCGGGGGAGCCCCAGCCTGCTCCTGGCAGCTGTGACGGCAGCTGTGCGGCCGCTCCCTCCAGGAATGTGTCACAGACCCGAGTGTTCCAAGGAGACATCCCATGCGGGGGCTTAGAGGCGCTCAGTCCTGCGTTTTGCCTCAGACTATACAAAGTCCTCTTAAATCAGGACTCCATATGGTCCAGGTGGGAGGGGCCAAGTTGTGTGTCCCTGAAACCATGGCATCTCCAGGTAGTGAGACAGCAGGGCCGGGAGTCTGTGCGGGCCGGTCTTTGAGACGTGCTCCTGAAGACATGCCCTCTGTTGTGAACACAGGCTTCTGCTGAGCCCGTCATCTCACCCAGGGACAGCAATAAAGTCTTTAGTGTAGAATCTTACTCCCATGTGATTCATGCCTGATTCTTAAGGTTTTCTTTGGTATGAACCATTTACAAAATCTTTTTATCAAGTTTGTTACAATATTGCTTCTGGGTTTTTTGTTTTGTTTAATGTTTTTGGCCCCAAGGCATATGGGATGTTAGTTTCCTGCCCAGGGATCAAACCCACATCCCCTGCATTGGAAGGTGAAGTCTTAACCTCTGCACCACCAGGGAAGTCGCTTGTGCCTGATTCTTAACCAGTAACTAAGGTAATCAATAACTCTGAGTTCCCATCTTAGGTAACTCGGGATACCTCTTGATGGGAGGTATAGCCCATCTTGATGGGAGAATCCCTCAAGATGGGATTCTGAATACCTCCAACCCCTCTCCTGTAGACTTGTTTTGAATCACGTGACCTACCATCACATAGCTGACAGGACTAGAGTGGACATGTGATTCATGGCAGCCAACCCTAGCCTGACCATGGACCAAGAATTTGAGCTAAGAAATACAGAGAGAATTGACCAGTGGAACTGAAAAAATAAGGATGCCATGAGTTTGAATTAAGACCATGGCCAGTCAAAGCAATGTGTAAGCCCAGTTATGAGTTGGAAATATATGGAAGTAAAAAAAAAAAAAAAAGGAAATATATGGAAGTGAGAAAGCCAGTTGTTAAAGGTATAAAACAGGTGGCAAGACAGGAAGACTGTTCTTGTCCTTTCCAGTTCCAGGCCAAATCTATGTTTAAAACATACCCTTCATTTTCTAAAGGGCTTCCCAAAAAATTGATATATTAATTGGTGGTCCCCAGAAGGATAAAATATTAGATAGAGGCCCCCCCAACTCCCACCCTCCAGGCAGTTTCCAGCAACAGAAAATGCTGACCTGTGCAAGAAGCTGAGGGCCTTGGCCATACCTGGGCAGCTACCACGAACAAGACAAACTCAACGACCAGTCACTGAACATCCCGTAGCTCCTAGGGACATACTCTACCCAATACACACGTCCACCTAACTGGCTGATGGGCCCTGGCAGGCAGCCAACCCCGTTAGGTTGGAGTTTGTTTCTTCATTTGGCTGGAGTAAGGAACAAGCTGACCAGGGGAGATTTCTAAGCTGAAGACAAGCCAGACAACAAAGCTGGCTGAGTGAGTGGGCACAAATCTAATTTCTTACAATGGATTTTGTAAAGACGGCAACTCCTACAAGTTCAAGGGCTTCCCTGACGACTCAGTCAGTAAAGAGTCTGCCTGCCATGCAGGAGACTGCCTGCAATATGCAGGAGATGTGGGTTCGATTCCTGAGTCACACAGATCCTCTGAAGAAGGAAATGGCAACCCATTCCAGAATTCTTGCCTGGGAAATCCCATGGACAGAGGAACTGGTAGGCTGCAGTCCATGGGGTTGCAAGAGTTGGACACGACTTAGGAACTAAATCACCACCACCACAAATTCCACGTGAGCAGAAGACAAGCCAGACTGCCACCTCTTCTTTGCAGCCAGAGGGCAGAGGGAGTCAGGCACCCTGGCTTCCAGTCCTAGCTCTGTGAACTGAGTTGAATGAGCCCCTTCCCTCTCTGGGCCACAATCTGTCTAGCTGTACAAGGTCTGGCACATGGAAATAAGTCTACCGGATCCTCTAAGGTCTCCAGGACACCCTGTAAACCTACTTTCTTAAACCAGAAGGAAGCATCTGATGAGAGATCTTCCGGCCATGCTTTCTGGGACCTGAAACGAAAACAGAGCGGCATGGCCACCTCTGCCATCGACGTGGGGGTGGGGGCAAAGGAGTGATGAATGACCCACTCATCCCCCACCCCTGGGTGGGCAGGCCTAGAAGCCAAAGGAAGTGATAAGTGTCTGGCCTCAGCACCAAGAGGCCTCATCCTTCTCCACCTGAATCACAGCAGCCTCTCCTCTCCAGAGATCAGAGCTGGAGAAGCAATTAGAGCTTAATTATCTTCATAGGGAGAGAAGGGACCAGGTGGAACTCACCTAAGCCACAGAGCTAGTCCGTGGAAGGGCAGAAAGCCAAACCTTCCCTCGCTGAAAACAGAAGGTTCTAGCCTTGTGCAGACACGTATCTCAAGAGACTGAGTGCTTCTCACCCTGGAGACGTCAAGGTGAACAAATATAGCATTAAAAGGTAAGTACTCTAAAATAATTTTCAAATTAAGAAAAAGCCAGATCTGGAATGAAGGGAGGAGGGAGAGACCGGCAGTTAATAACGAGAACTTGACTACGCCGGGAGGGAAAGAGCTGGCAAGCTCACATTCCCAAGGCTGCAGCGACAGTTTTCCTAGTAAGGACGCTAAAGACGGCCCGACGGTCAGGAGCGGGGCTCAGGGCCCAGGTTGGAGGGATCAAGGGTGCGGTCCGAGCCCAAGTCCTGCCGTTGCCGCCAGGGTCTGCACTGTTGAGCGGGTGCTGGGAGCCCCCGAAGGCTGGTCCGGGTGGGACCCGCAGGAGCCGGCCCTCCCCCGTGGGAGGCTCCGGCTGGTCCTCATCCCCTCCTGGGCACAGCAGCGCCACGGGAACTCGGGGAGCCCCACGCCGGCTCGAGGCGGGGTGGGCCGTGGACGGGGCACCCGGCGGGGCACCAAGGGGGGCGCCTAGAGTTCTGGGTGTGTCCTCTCTCGCCGCCCGGCCGCGCGCCCGCTCTCTGAGGCTTTACCTGTGTCTGGAAAACGGGCACAGGGTGTTCTGCGGAGATCGGTCGGGGGAGGGGTGCGGCGCGGGGGGCGGTGAGGGGCGCGCCGCTCCTAGGCGGGACATGACTCTCCAGCGCCACCGCGTGGCTGAGGCGGCGCACGGCGCCCACCCCGCGGCGATGGGGATTTCCAGACTCGCCAGCGATCCCAGAGAACCCCAAGTGGTTACGAAAGGAGCAGCCAGCCAGGAGCAGCGAGGCTTGGCGAACTAGTGAAATGGCAGCTAGCATCTGCTGAACCAAACGCTGGGCTTAACATTTTCCGGTCCTTTTCTCCTGTAAACTCTTAACCATCTTTTAAGCGGATGCAGCTATTATTCCCATCTCACAGCGGAGGAAACTGAGGTCTAGAGAGAATGAGAAACTTGTCCAAGTCCCCAGCTGGCGGGGAGAGCTGACCTATCCCAGCCCCCAACACTTTACGAGCTAGAGACTTGGAAGTGTGGAGAGAATGGCCCGGTTTTCCGTGAAACTGAAATAATCAGGGCTTCGAGGGCCCTCCCATCCCCCGGTCGGAGAGTAACTCCTGCGTCCTTGCTCTCGGAGGGGCTGCTACCTCTCCGTTTTATTGGGTCGTCGAAAAAGTTCGTTTGATTTTTCCGAAAGCTGTTGGGGGAAAACCCCAAGGACCTTTCTGGCCAACCCAATGTGACGAATGATGTCTGTGGCCGCAAAGGTCAGAAGCCAAAGGACAGAGCTTTTTCTTCTCCAATATCCAGGAGCCTTGGCAGTGAAAGGTGCTTTGGGGTTTGAGAATCACAGACAGAGGAAAGCTGAGTAGTTAGGAGCATCCCGGAAGGGTGGGTTCCAGAAGGACTGGGTTTCAGGCCCTGCTCTGCTTCCAACTGGCTACGTGATCTTGGGCAAGTTCATGCTCTTCTGTGGGCCTCGGTTTCCCCCCTGTGCAATGTACATTCCTCTAGATGATGTAAACATCCTTACCTCAGCTTTCCAAATAGCCCTCCCCATACGAGCCCCACCCAGACTGGCCCTGACATTCCAGAAGCAGCCCTGAAGTGAGGTTGAAGGTCCCAGGTGGGAGCTGTGACTCATCTGAGTGTCCTCCTGAGTTCTGGGCCCTGGACTGGGTCCTGGCAGGGTATCTGGCCTTGGCAGATCAGAGCCATCAGAGGGGAGAAAAGCCCTGTGCCTCTGAGAAAGGCCTCAGGGAGGGGGGCCTGCATTGTGATGACCTCATCCATTCTATGACATCATCCTCTCTCTCATTCCCACTCCTCCCTGATCAGCTGCTCTGCAAACAACCATCAATCTGAATCCCAAAGGCCTGAGAAAGTCTGTTCTCCAGTACCTGCTGCTGATCTTCTGTCTCACCCAGCAAGAAGCACCATGAAATTGGAATTCACCGAGAAAAACTACAACAGCTTCATACTGCAGAACCTGAACAAACAGAGAAAACGCAAAGAGTACTGGGACATAGCCCTAACTGTGGACCACCATGTCTTCTTTGCACATCGCAATGTGCTGGCTGCAGTCTCCCCGCTGGTGAAGAACCTCATCTGCAGCCATGACATGAAGACCACCGATGAGCTCTTTATCACCATTGACCCCAACTACCTGAGTCCGACCACAGTGGACCAGCTCTTAGACTACTTCTACAGCGGCAAGGTGGTGATCTCAGAGCAGAATGTGGAGGAGCTCCTTCGCGGGGCCCAGTATTTCAACACACCCCGCCTTCGAATTCACTGCAATGACTTCCTGATCAAGTCCATCCGCCGTGCCAACTGCTTGCGCTACCTCTTCTTGGCTGAGTTGTTTGAGCTCAAAGAGGTGTCAGACTTGGCCTACTCTGGCATTCGTGACAACTTCCACTACTGGGCCAGTCCTGAGGGCTGCATGCACTTCATGCGCTGTCCACCTGTCATCTTCGGCCGCCTGCTCCGAGATGAAAACTTGCACGTACTCAACGAAGACCAGGCTCTGAACGCACTTATCAATTGGGTATGCTTCCGGAAGGATGAGCGGGAGAAGTATTTCAAGAAGTTCTTCAATTACATCAACCTCAATGCTGTCTCCAACAAGACGCTAATGTATGCCAGCAACAAGCTGCTATGCATGGAGAACAGCTCAGCCCACTCAACCATGATTGAAAGTGTCCTTGTGGACCGCAAGCAGGAGAGGCCGACCAGCCTGCTGAGCTACCAGCGCAAAGGGGCCCTGCTTGATTCAGTGGTCATCCTAGGGGGCCAGAAGGCCCATGGCAAGTTCAACGATGGCGTGTTTGCTTACATCATCCAGGAGAACCTGTGGTTGAAGCTCTCAGAGATGCCCTACCGCGCAGCGGCACTGAGCGCCACCTCTGCCGGCCGCTACATCTACATCTCTGGTGGAACCACGGAGCAGATTTCAGGGCTGAAGACGGCTTGGCGGTATGACATGGATGACAACTCCTGGACCAAGCTGCCCGACCTGCCAATTGGGCTTGTCTTCCACACCATGGTGACCTGCGGGGGAACAGTGTACTCGGTGGGGGGCAGCATCGCCCCGAGGCGCTATGTCTCTAACATCTACCGCTATGATGAGCGCAAGGAGGCCTGGTGCCTGGCAGGGAAGATGAGCATTCCCATGGATGGCACAGCGGTGATCACCAAGGGGGACCGGAACCTGTATATTGTCACTGGGCGCTGCTTGGTGAAGGGTTACATCTCCCGGGTCGGGGTGGTGGACTGCTTCGACACCAACACTGGGGAGGTGGTCCAGTGCATCACCTTTCCCATTGAGTTCAACCACCGGCCCCTGCTCTCTTTCCATCAGGACAACATCCTCTGCGTGTACAGCCACCGGCAGAGTGTGGAGATCAACCTGCAGAAGGTGAAGGCCAGCAAGACGACCAGCTCCGTGCCTCTTTTGCCCAACAGCTGCCCCTTGGATGTGTCCCACGCTATATGCTCTGTGGGAGACAACAGAGTGTTTGTGTGCGGAGGTGTCACCACAGCCAGTGACGTCCAGACAAAGGACTATACCATCAACCCAAACGCCTACCTGCTGGACCAAAAGGCAGGCGAGTGGAAGACCCTGGCCCCTCCACCGGAGGCGTTGGACTGTCCTGCCTGCTGTCTAGCCAAGCTACCTTGCAAGATTCTTCAAAGGATTTAAACAACTTTTTAAGTGGGAGAATAAGTAAATGCATTATTATTCACAATTTAATGAGAGAAAAAGCGAGGAAGGTGTTGGTTCCTTTTTAGTCTCTGTTCGGCCCCGAAGGTGGAGATCCTGGGCTCTGGCTACTCCCAGTGGGGGGAGATTCAGGCATGCCCTGTTACTGGAGGGATCCAGGCTGAGGCCGCAAGAGTCCCTGGTGGGTGGGATTGAGGCATATCTCGGGCACTGGCTCCCGGTAGGTGAAGATTCAGGGCTACTCCATCATTGACGGGATCCAAGCAGAGGCTGGAAGGGGATCCTGGGTGGGTGAGTTCGAGGCATCTCCCAGGCACTGGCCAAGGTGATGTCTGAAAGGCCCCCTGTCCTGTACCCCTGTAGTCACCTTGAAGACGCATGCTAGACTGACAGGTAAAGCACCTGCTTAGAGTTGGGAAGCCTGAGGCTTCTCCCACACTCATTTCTGAGTCTGCCGAGAAAGGCAGGGGAGGGCCCATCCCAGGTCCAGAGAGGAGCCTCCTGGGTTAGGGAGGGAGAAGGTGGTTTGAGCCAGGCTCGGGGATGCGGGCAGAGGGTGTGGGGTTGGGACGGGAGAGGAGGCAGGGTTGCTTGGCTGTTGGGCTGGACCATGCAGCTCTGCTGTGTCTCATTAGTGGGCAAGTTGGAGGGTTGGTTACACGTTTCCAGTAAGCAAGGTTCATTGGGAACTTTCTCCAGGAATACAAGGTCTGAGGAACTGGGGGTGGAAGAGAGGCGAGTAAAGAGAGAAAAAAGAAACCTACATCTCTCTTGGAGAGAGAGGGGAGATGATGGGAGGAGAGTCAGGATGGTTTAGTAGTTAGGGGCCTGGACGCTGGGGACAGATAGCCTGGTTCAAATGCCAGTTCCACCACTCACTGGGTGATCCTGAGAAAGTTATTAACATCTCTATGCCTTAGTTCCCTTGTCTGTAAAGGGGGGACAATGAGAGCACCTGCCTCACTAGGTGATGTGATGTGTGAAGTGCCTAGGACAGTCCCTGGCATATATTCAAGTGCTGCAGGAGTGCTTTTATAAAAGAGAACAAAGGGAAAGAGGGGCTAGGTTCCTGGACCCTGATATTAAGCTAGGCTCCATAAAATGCTTTTGGGACTCCCTACCCCAAAGCCTAGCGAGCACGCCTCAGTTCTAACGACCTCCGCTTCCCTTTCATTCGTGTGTTTCCATATAATCCTGAACAACCGAGAAGAAACTGACCCAGTCCCTGGACACCATATGTGACCCTCACCCATCCATTCACTTGTCCCTTCATGGATTCACTTGCTCAGCCGCTCAGCACTTCACACACACAGACACACACACTCACTGGGGCCTCTCTGCGCGGGCCCGTGCTGGGTGATCAGGCCGTTGGGATGACACGGACAGTGCCTGTCCCTGGGAGGGAAAGTCCACCAGTGCCATGCAACAGGAGCAGTACGCAAGCCACATATGGGATGCCATATTAACAAGGTAAAAAGAAATGCGTGAAATTAATAATGTATTTCACTTAATGCACTATACCTAAAAATTAACATGTAAACAAATAATCAATGGAAACATCTATTAATGAGGCATTTAACATTTTTGTTTTGCATATTGAGTCTTTAGAACCCAGTGTGTTTTACACTTACAGCATGGCTCATTTTGGACTGACTACATACCTCAAGGCCCACGAAGCTAGTGGCTCCTGTATTATGCATGCGGGGTACTTTACATAGCCTCATGGTCCACATCTGCTCCATCCCCTTGATTTTCCCACTCAGTCCTGCTTCACCCACTCAGCTGCAGCTTCCTGACGTCCCTGAAGGGTGGCCTCTGTCTTCAAAGCCTACCCCTCTGGCCCAGGTCTTACTTCGCTCCTTCCAGTCCAGGACCTTGGACTTCAGAGCTGACACTCTCTCCCCTGGGAACTTACCCCACATTTCTCTCTCCTCCAATTCTGGGCAGCCCCCGCCTCTGCTCACCTCATTGCATCTCCCAACTGGAAGAAGAGGGTCCTACAGACCCACACAGCGAAGCCCAGCTGCCCCACGCACACCCCACCAGGCTTGGCTGACCCAGTCACCTCTTCTGACACCAGCTGGCCATTCCCTACTGCTGATTCTCCAACCTTCCTGGTGTCCTGGGGCCCTGCCCTCCTTTCTGTTTCTTCTCGGCCACTTACCTCTCATTTTGCCACCAGAACTCCAGAGAAATAGAGGTCAGACGATCTAGCACCGTAAGTGATCTGCTCTCCCCCCAAAAAACCTCTCCACAGCTTCTACTGCTTTTCTGCACCTCAGAGGAAGAGGTGTCCTTCCCTGATTCAAAGCTATCTCCTGTCTTGTTGTTCTGTTTCCTTACAACTTTCCTGGCTCTCCAGTTCCCTCCCTCTCCACATGTCCTTCCCGATGTCTTCTCTTCGTTCCAGAAATATTCTCAAGGTTCTGCTAGCCTGAAGACAAACCCTCCTCAGTTTTGAGGTCCAGCTCTTGCAATCTGCCCATCGCTTTCCTCAGCTGGGTTTCCTAAATGTCGCTTCTGCTCTCTGGTTCCAGACCAAACTCTGACCCACTGAATCTGGCTTCTGTTCCCACCACACCACCAAACTGTCTCCTGATGACACTGTTGTCTTTTTCTCTGCATTCTTTCTTTTCCTCGCAGTGGGATTTCCTTCCTTCCTTTCCTTTTAGAATAGTGAGATTATAATTTGATATATTAACCAATGTGGTCTTTCCTTGATCCTTCAAAGTTAGACCATGAAGCTGAAGCTTCAGGGTTTCTTGCCCTGAAGGTTGGCACAGCTGAATGTAGGACTCAGAGCCCAACTCTTGGCTTCTGTTGCCAGAAGAGCTTCAGCAATTCATAGCAGAGATTATGCTCTTGAAAGACATGACTTTTGTACCATAATCCATGTCTTCAAACTGGAATACATCAAGTCTTTCCAAGGGAAATTCATACAAGCTTAGTTTGAAGGGAATCAGTTTTCAGATCCTGAACTTTTCTCCTAAAATTGATCTGAGAATACACCTGTGGTGGAGATTTCATTCTAGTTCTCTTTTCCCATCTTCCTTTTCAAAATGATCTGTCAAACATTTTACACACACACACAGAGCAACATTTAACCACTCTGAATCTTCCCAGGGTGCACCGCCCTGGATGCCATGTGAGGATATAAACTAGTGTCAGTGAAGTGTCGGCGAAGATTCCTTTCATCAAGACACCAATATCAAAGAAGAATTTGTGGTATTAATACTTTTCTGTCTTATCTAGGCAGTGTCTGTGTTGACGTGTGAAGCCTGGTGTTTTAAACTGGGGTATTTTGGTCCAAGATAGGTCTTTAAAAATGTTAAGTAGCACAGTGCTATGAGGATATATTTTTAAAAATCATTATTGACTAGTACTTCACCCGTTTTAAGTGTAGAATTCAGTGGTTTTTATATATTCACAGAGTTCTACAGTCATTGCAACAATCAATTTTAGGACATTTTCATCACTCCAGAAAGAAATCTTGTACCCCATAGCTGTAACTCTCTAGCCCCCTCAATTCCCCAGCCTCAGGCAGCCAATAATTTAGTTTCTGACTGTATGGATTAGTCTATTCTAAATATTTCGTATAAAATGTGACGTATTTTTCTGGCTTTCACTTAACATAATGTTTTCAAGTTTCATCCATGATGTAGCATGTGATTCATTCCTTTTTATGGCTGGATACTACTCCATTGTGAGGTTATACCACATTTTATGTATCTGTTTATCAGTTATAGATAGACACTTGGTTTGCTTCCACTTCTTGGCTATTATGAATGGTGCTCAATGAACATTTGTGTCCAAGGTTTTGTGTTCACACAGGTTTTCATTTCTCTTGGGTATACACCTAGGAATAGAATTGTTAGATCAAATCTTAACTCTGTGTTTAACCATCTGAGGAACTGCCAGACTGTTTCCCAAAGCAGCTGAGTCATTTTACATTCCCATCAACAATGTATGAGGGATCCAACTTTTCTGCCCCCTCACCAGCATTTCTTATTATCTGTATTTCCAGAAACAGTCATCCTAGTGAGAGAAAGCAGCATCTCGTTGTGGTTTTGATTTGCATTGCCCTGATGCCTAGTGATGCTGGATATCTTTTCAGGGGCTTATTTTTGATGACAGTTGTTATCAGAGAAAGTATTATTCTTGAGGAAGAGTTCTCAAGGTGCAAAGGTAGTGGGACTCAGAAACATGAGAGTCTTTGTGCCATTGTTTCATTCAGGCCACAGAATCGTAACAAGTCTCTATTCCTTCCTACCAAGCTGTCTATCTTAGAATATTAAAGATTTTTAAAAGTATGTTAGAAAATATCCACTACCAAGCCCATCCTCTCTGCATTTTCACCATTCTCAGTAATGAGAAAATGCTCCAATTCTCCTGGGTCTATTTGGTACCATTTAAAAGATGACATAAAAATTCTACACTTACTTTCAAAAGAATAGTGTTACAACTTTGAACAAAAGTAAATAAATCGCGTTAGTTAGAACGGCTTATTATTAGAATGCTTTATTCAGAGTTGTAAGAAACATTTAAAACATTTTTTGTTAGGAATATATAACCCACATAGAAAAGCAACAATACATAATTGTATAGCTTAATGAATTATAACTGTTGTAAATATCCATGTAACCATTACTGAGTTCAAGGAATAGAATATCGCCAATACCTCAAAAGTCTCCAATGTGGCCGCTTCCTGATTACATCCCCTCTCTGCTCTCTGAGCTTTATGATAATGCCTTTCTTGCTTTTCTTTGATCTTCGTTTCCTGACCAGGGATATAACTCAATCAACCCCTGAGCAGTGAAAGCACAGGCTCCTAACCACTGGACCGCCAGGGAATTCCCTGTTTCTTGCTCAGTATTCCTGCCTGGAGAATCCCCGTGGACAGAGGTGCCGGGCCAGCTACAGTTCATGGGGCTGCAAAAAAGTCCGACACGACTGAGCGACTAACCACAGCACATAGCTTTAACGTCTAAGTAGGCATTTCTAATACATAGATTAGTTCAGCCTGCCTTTGAACTTTACATAAGAGACTTGTACTGTATCAATTATTTTGTGTCTGGCTTCTTTCACTCAAATTGTTTTCACAGTTGATCCATGTTGTACCTAGGCATAGTTCTTCCCATTCATTTTATGTACAGTATTCTGTCATATGAGTGTATCCTTTTATTTATCCAGTCTCCTGTTCATTGATATCTGGGTGGTTTCCAGTTTGAACAATTACAGACAATGCTGTTCTTGTGAATGTATCTTGATACATGTATACTCAACTTTAGAACATAAGTGGAATCACTGTCTTCCTTTCTAGATAATGCCAAACTATTTCCCAAAGTGGTTGTGCCAGTTTACACTGCCATCAGCAGTACTTGAGAACTCATGTTGTTTCTACATGCTTGCCAATACTTAGTATTGTCAGACTTTTATTATTGCCAATCAGATATGAAGTATTATCTCAGTGCAGTTTTAATTTGCATTCTCTTGATTGATAATTAAAAGTTAAGCACCTTTTAATGTTTATTGGACATTTGGATATCCTCTTTTGTGAAATCTTTTTTTCTATTTGGTTGACTATTTTCTCTTTTTGACTTGTTGGGATTCTTTTTTTTTCTTTCAATTTTTTTGAGTTAGACCGTTTTTAAAGTTTTATGTTTTAAAGTTTGATTTGGATTATTTTTAAAGTTTTAAAAGTTTATTGAATTTGTTACAATATTGCTTCTGTTGTTTATATTCTGGTTTTCTGGCTGGGAGGCATGTGGGATCTTAGCTCCCCAACCAGGGAACCATCGAACCCACACCCCCTGCATTGGAAAGTGAAGTCTTAACCACTGGACCACCAGGGAAGTCCCTGGAATTCTTAATATAGACTAGATATGAGTCGTTTACCAGTTTCAAATGTGGTAAATATCTTCTCCCATTCTGTGGCTTGCCCTTCCACTCATAATGGTATATTTTAATTTCAATTAGTCTGATTTGTCTTTTCATTTTTGGTTGCCGATCTTGATACTTGAGGAAATCATTCTTTACCCTGAGGTCGAATATCCCATACGGATATGTAATTGTCCCAGAACCAGTTTTCCCACTTTCCTGCAGCGCCACCTTTGTTCTAAACCACCTGTGCATACATGGGTGGATGTGCTTATGAGCTCCCTTATTCCATTGGCCTATTCATCTGACCTTCATGCCAATAGCACAGCCTCCATTTCTATAGATTTGTCATATCCGATATGGTTTAGAATTTGTTTGTCAGGATCCACAAAACTGTTGAGTTTTGATTGTGATTGTGCTGAATTTATAGATCAATTTAGGGAAATTTCATATATTTACAATATCAGTTTTTAAAATTCATGGACATGGTATGTTTCCATTTTAGGGAGTCTTCTGTAATTCTTCTTAATGCTTTATGCTTTGTAGAGGTCTCACACGTTTGTTAGATTTATTCCTAGGTACTGGACATTTTAAAATTAATATATATTATTAAAATATATATAGTCATGTATGTGAGATATAATATTCTTTGAAAATATACAGCATTCTTTGAAAGTTTCATTTCCTCTTTTTAGTCTATAGAAATACATTGATTTCTGTATATTGATTTTGTACTTAGCAGATTGTGGGGGATCTTTATATAGTCCAGATGTGAGCTCTTTCAGTTGTACATTGGTAAATATCTTCTTTCCACTCAATACGAATCATAGCTCTAAATGTAAAATGTAAAACTACAAAATTTTAGAAAAAAACATGGACCAAATATTTGTAACTGGGGGTTAAGCAAAGATTTTTTATATAAAACATGCAAAGAGCATGATCCATTTCAATTCAGTTCAGTCGCTCAGTCATGTCCAACTCTTTGAGACCCCATGGACTGCAGCACTCCAGGATTCCCTGTCCATCACCAACTCCTGGAGCTTGCTCAAACTCATGTCCATTGAGTCAGTGATGCCATCCAACCATCTCATCCTATGTTGTCCCCTTCTCCTCCTGCCTTCAATCTTTCCCAGCATCAGGGCTTTTATAATGAGTCAGTTCTTTGCATCAGGTGGCCAAAGTATTGTAGTTTCAACTTCAGCATCAATCCTTCCAATGAATATTCAGGACTGATTTCCTTTAGGATGGACCTGTTGGATCTCCTTGCAGTCCAAGGGACTCTCAAGAGTTTTCTCCAACACCACAGTTCAAAAGCATCAATTCTTTGGCACTCAGCCTTCTTTGTGGTCCAACTCTCACATCCATACATGACTGGAAAAACCATAGTTTTGACTATATGGACCTTTGTCAGCCAAGTAATATCTCTGCTTTTTAATATGCTGTCTAGGTTTGTCATAGCTTTTCTTCCAAGGAGCAAGTGTCTTTTAATTTCATGGCTCCAGTAACCATCTGCAGTGATTTTGGAGCCCAGGAAAATAAAGTCCATCACTGTTTCCATTGTTTCCCCATGTATTTGTCAAGAAGTGATGGGACCAGATGCCATGATCTTCGTTGAGTTTTTGAATCTGTAGATTTATATCTTTGCCAAATTTGGCAAGTTTTCAGCTGTTATTATTTCAAATATTTTTTCTACCTTTGTACACTTTCTATTTTCTTTCTGGAAGTCTGATGGAACAAATGTTACACTTTTTGTTGTTGTTGTTCCTCAGATCCCTGGGGCTCTTTTCAGCTTTTTTTTCTCACGGTTAAGACTAATATCTACTGATCAGCCTTCATATTCAGTAACTCTTACCTCTGTCATCTCCATTTTGCTTTGGGATCTATCTGAGTTTTTAAAATTTTTGTTTTTAAAAGTTTCCAGTTCAAACATTTCCATTTTGTTATTGTCTACATTTTATAATTTCTTTACTGAAGCTTTCTAATTTTTCAGTTGTTCCAAGGATGTTTACAGTTATTTGTAAGAGCACTTTTATAATAGCTGATGTAAGTCTTTGTCAGATAACTCCAATATCTAAATCATCTTGGTATTGATATGTGTGGATTGTCTTGTGTGTGTGTGTGTGTTGAGATTTTCCTGGTTATTCATATGCTAGGTAATTCTAGATTGTATCTTAAATATTTTTAATACTATGACATGAGACTTTGGGTCTTATTTAAATCCAATAAAAAATGTGGATATTTTTGTACTAGTGTATAATTGACGAAACTAGTTTCAGGATATAAGTTCCAACTGACCTCCTATTGGCTGTGGTTAGAATTTCATCCAATCTTCAAAGATTTTGTACCAGTATTTGAATCTGTCCCATGTTTGGGCCACCTAGTGACCAATCTGGGACATCAGTTCAGTTCACTCACTTAGTCATGTCCGACTCTTTTCGACCCCATGGACTGCAGCACTCCAGGCCTCTCTGTCCATCACCAACTCCCAGAGTTTACTCAAACTCATGTCCATTGAGTCAGTGATGCCATCCTACCATCTCATCCTCTGTCATCCCCTTCTCCTCCCACCTTCAGTCTTTCCCAGCATCAGGGTCATTTCCGATGAGCCAGCTCTTCGCATCAGGTGGCCAAAGTATTAGAGTTTCAGTTTCAACATCAGTCCTTCCAATGAATATTCAGGACTGCTTTCCTTTAGGATGGATTGGTTGGATCTCCTTGCTGTCCAAGGGATTCTCAAGAGTCTTCTCCAACACCAGAGTTCAAAAGCATCAAATCTTCAGCGCTCAGCTCTCTTTATAGTCCAACTCTTACATTCATACATGACTACTGGAAAAACCATAGCTGTGACTAGACAGGCCTTTGTTGGCAAAGTAATGTCTCTGCTTTTTACTATGCTGTCTAGGTTGGTCATAACATTTCTTCCAAGGAGTAAGTGTCTTTTAATTTCATGGCTGCAGTCACCATCTGCAGTGACTTTGGAGCCCCCCAAAATAAAGTCAGCCACTGTTTCCACTGTTTCCCCATCTATTTCCCATGAAGTGATGGGACCGGATGCCATGATCTTAGTTTTCTGAATGTTGAGCTTTAAGCCAACTTTTTCACTCTCCTCTTTCACTTTCATCAAGAGGCTCTTTAGTTCTTCGCTTTTTGCCATAAGGGTGGTGTCATCTACATATCTGAAGTTATTGATATTTCTCCCAGCAATCTTGATTCCAGCTTGTGCTTCCTCCAGCCCAGCATTTCTCATGATGTACTCTGCATATAAGTTAAATAAGCAGGGTGACAATATACAGCTTTGACTTACTCCTTTCCCGATTTGGAAGCAGTCTGTTGTTCCATGTCCAGTTCTAACTGTTGCTTCTTGACCTGCATACAGATTTCTCAAGAGGCAGGTCAGGTGGTCTGGAATTTCCATCTCTTTAAGAATATTCCACAGTTTGTGGTGATCCACACAGTCAAAGGTTTTGGCATAGTCAATAAAGCAGAAGTAGATGTTTTCCTGGAACTCTCTTGCTTTTTTGATGATCCAGCAGATGTTGGCAATTTGATCTCTGGTTCATTTGCCTTTTCTAAATCCAGCTTGAACATCTGGAATTTCATGGTTCACATACTGCTGAAGCCTGGCTTGAAGAATTTTGAGTATTACTTTGCTAGTGTGTGAGATCAGTGCAATTGTGAGGTAGTTTGAGCATTCTTTGGCATTGCCTTTCTTAGGGATTGGAATGAAAACTGACCTTTTCCAGTCCTGTGGCCACTGCTGAGTTTTCCAAATTTGCTGACATATTGAGTGCAGCACTTTCACAGCATCATCTTTTAGGATTTGGAATAGCTCAACTGGAATTCCATCACCTCCACTAGCTTTGTTCGTAGTGATGCTTCCTAAGGCTCACTTGACTTCGCATTCCAGGATGTCTGGCTCTAGGTTGGTGATCATACCATCATGATTATCTGGGTCATGATCTTTTTTGTATAGTTTTGTGTATTCTTGCCACCTCTTCTTAATATCTTCTGCTTCTGTTAAGTCCATACCATTTCTGTCCTTTATTGTGCCTATCTTTGCATGAAATGTTCCCTTGGTATTTCTAATTTTCTTGAAGAGATCTCTAGTCTTTCCCATTCTATTGTTTTCCTCTATTTCTTTGCATTGGTCACTGAGGAAGGCTTTCTTATCTCTCCTTGCTATTCTTTGGAGCTCTGCATTCAAATGGGTATATCTTTCCTTTTTTCCTTTGCTTTTTGCTTCTCTTCTTTTCATAGCTGTTTGTAAGGCCTCCTCAGACAACCATTTTGCCTTTTTGCATTTGTTTTTTTGGGGGATGATCTTGATCCCTGCCTCCTGTACAATGTGATGAACCTCCGTCCATAGTTCTTCAGGCACTCTGTCTATCAGATCTAATCCCTTGAATCTATTTGTCACTTCCACTCGATAGTCATAGAGATTTGATTTAGGTCACTAGATTTGATTTAGACCTGAATGGTCTAGTGATTTTCCCTACTTTCTTCAATTTAAGTCTAAATTTGGCAATAAGGAGTTCATGATCTGAGCCACAGTCAGCTCCTGGTCTTGTTTTTGCTGACTGTATAGAGCTTCTCCATCTTTGGCTGCAAAGAATATAATCAATCTGATTTCGGTATTGGCCATCTGGTGTTGTCCATGTGTAGGGTCTTCTCTTGTGTTGTTGGAAGAGGAAATTTGCTATGACCAGTTCGTTCTCTTGGCAAAACTCTGTTAGCCTTTGCCCTGCTTCATTCTGTACTCCAAGGCCAAATTTGCCTGTTACTCCAGGTGTTTCTTGACTTCCTACTTTCGCATTCCAATCCCCTATAATGAAAAGGATATCTTTTTTTGTGTGTTAGTTCTAGAAGGTTTTGTAGGTCTTCATAGAATCAGTCAACTTCAGCTTCTTCAGCATTATTTGTTGGGGCATTCCCTGGTGGCTCAGATGGTAAAGCATCTGCCTGCAGTGCTAGAGACCCGGGTTCGATCCCTGGATTGGGAAGATCCCCTGGAGAAGGAAATACCCTTGCCTGGAAAATCCCATGGACAGAGGAGCTTGGGAGGCTATAGTCCATGGGGTCGCAAAGAGTCAGACATGACTGAGTGCCTTCACTTTCTTTAGGTTTGGGTTACTGTGATATTGAATAGTTTTCCTTGGAAACAAACAGAGATCATTCTGTTATTTTTGAGACTGCATCCAAGTACTGCATTTTGGACTCTTTTGTTGACTATGATGGCTACTCCATTTCTTCTAAGG